CTCGGCAGGACTCGCCGTTCGAGCACTTCCAGGAGCACCTCTGGAAGTGGTTCAACGACAGCAAGTGCGAACGACCTTGCCAGGCATCGAGAATGCCAATGATGATGATCATGATGATGATGATGATGCTGATGATGATGATGATGATGATGATGATGATGACGATGACGAGGACGACGAGGACGACGACGAACACGACGACGAGGGAAGGTGCATCGCATCATCGGCAGAGTTCGCAAAAGCGTGAGCTTCTGCACTGGATGGGAGTCCAAAGCCTCCGATGCCGTAATGTTTTGAACGCGCGTGCCCAGAACTCTCGACCGTATTCCGGAACAGTTCACTCGTCTAGGATCTTTTTTATACTCCTGGGATTCAGAAGCGGTCCTGACGACCTGACCATGACGATGACGATGACGATGATGATGCTGATGATGATGATGCTGTTGATGATGATGTTGATTCTGATATTGTTGATGATGCTGCTCATGGTGATGATTAGTATGATTGTGGTGGTGATGAGGATGATGGCGATGCTGATGATGCTGATGATGATGCTGATGATGCTGATGCTGATGCTGATGCTGATGCTGATGCTGGTTCTGATCTGACAATGATGATTTGATGGCGAGGGTGCTGCTGCTGATGATGTTGATGATGGTGATGATGGTGATGATGATGACGATGACCATGACGATGACGATGATGATGATGATGATGATGATGATGATGATGATGATGAACATGATGATGATGATGATGATGATGATGATGATGATGATGATGATGATGATGATGATGATGATGATGATGATGATGAGGATGAGGATGAGGATGATGATGAGGATGAGGATGATGAGGATGAGGATGATGATGATGATGATGATGATGATGATGATGATGATGATGATGATGATGATGATGATGATGATGATGATGATGATGGTGATGCTGCTGGTGATTATGGTTATCATGATAATGTCAAGTTGCTTCTTCGCACCTTCCACCAGGCTAGGAGACTCGCCGTCGCGGGGCCAGGTGGCTCGTGGAGCCAGCTGCGGCATGCTCGCGCGTTGTCATCGGCGCGGCGCTGGCGCCGGCGCGGGCTTTTCGGGTTGAGCGCCGCCCAGAGGCCCAGGACCGGTCGATATCGCGGGATCTGCGCTGATGTCAAATGATATCGAACGTTGGCCGCTGGGACCGGCACAGGGGCTGCTCATGCGGATTTTATGTGGACTAACCTAGACAAGTGGCTTGGAGGGGGTTAACGATCCAGGCTGAGTGGGTGGAGCCCACTAAGCGGAGTTATCTGATCCCCCGAAGCCACTTGGAGCATTTGGAACCCACTTCTAAGACAGGCAAGGTCAGATATAACCCACCTTGGCATCCATTGATAACCCTCCCATCCCCTTATCACCCCCCGCGCCCATCCCAGTATCGAATAATGTCGAACGCTGGCCAAGGGTCCGGGATCTGCTCTTTACCTCTCGTTCTCGGCGCATGTCTAATGCTTGACGGTATCTCCGTCAGGGTTTCGGTGTCTGGGTCCTTCGCCCCATCCGCCCTTCTTCGTCCCCTCCTCCTGCTTCTGCTTCTGCTTGCAGGGAGGGGGGGCTGATCGCGTAGCATCTGGGGCTCGCTCGATGGGGATGAGGGCGCGTGCGCGCCGTCCGTCGTCGCCGGCATCGTCGAGTCGATTTGCCGACGGCTTGCCTTTTTCTTCTCCCCGTCGGGGCGTTCCCGTGAGCCGCGGCAGGGCGGCGAGCTCGAAGCGCTGGCGGGGAGCCTTGGCCGCCCTCGCAGGCGAGCCGGGGCCGAAGCCCGGCCAGGTCCTGGCGTGGCGCGGGGGAGCGGAGCGCGAAGGCACAGCCCAGCCCCGCGCACAGGTCAGCAGCCGAGAGGCCCGCTCTCGCGGGGGGATGAACTCGGAGTCGTTGGTTGCGGGTCTCGAGGCGGTGATCTCCTGCACCTCGTTCGAGCTTGATGGGGCTGCCGGCGGCCATGCTGCGACACGCGAGTGGTCAGCTGTCGCCGCCACGGTCAGGGCGGGTCGACAAACTGGTGTCGACCGTGCCTTTCCTATACGGTGTAACGTCGATGCAGCGACGCCTGCAAGTGCCTCGCATAGCGGGGATATTGCGGCGGGGAGACTTGACGCTGCGGGCGTTGCGGCGGGGAGATTTGCTGCTGCGAGCGGTGCGGCGGAGGAACCTGCTGCTGCGGGCGCTGTGGCGGCGAAGAAGGGTAGCCGTGTCCATAATGAATTCGAAAGGGCCAGGAAAGAGGGGGGCTATATTCCCTACCCCTTCGGTACTAGGTTCCTCTACCGTGCTCGTGCACCATAACAAAGCTGATCTGCAATGCGAGCCAGGATTGGCCAGAACGCACAACGTAGGCAAACCTCGCGACCACCTTCTGGGGTATATTTTGCAATGTCAGCTTGGATTGGCCATGGCGCGCAACGGGGGCAGACCTCGCGACCGCCTTTCGGGGCATGAACCAATGGGCGTTGAAAAGACGAGGCACATAATAATGATCGTCTGATTGGCGCGGGGCACTCCGATCCGCGTCGAATCGGCGTGATGCATGAAACAATGAGCGTCGAATTGACGCGCCCCGTGATGATGGTCGTCGGAGTGGCGCGGGCCAAACCGATGAACGTCGAACTGGTGCGATCCATGAGCCGACTGAGCGTCGAGTCGAGGCGCCTGCGTTGCCCGGTGATTTGCTGAATGTGCAATTTGCTTCGCAGGAGCAAATCAGGCAGCGATACATGGCCCTTCAGGAGCAACGAAGAGATGCGCCCCAGGCCTTCCGCGGCGCATTCGCAGAGTGCTCGAGGGCCAACCGCGGGCGCGGCGACCAGCGGGCGCGGCTCGTTGCGGAAACAGCTTGGGCGATGGCCCACTTGGCTAGTCAAAAGCAAGCAGTCCGCCAAACTATCGACGCTGACTCTCGCGCTGTTGTCGAAGCCCTTGCGGCCCAGAGGGCCCGGTGCCAGGGTGTGGCGCGGCAGCAGAGGCAGGGTGGCAATGCCTCCTTCCATGGCAAGCTTGCGGTGCTGGGTCAACGATCCAATTCGGTTAGAACCGAGCTGGAGAGCAAAACGCTCCGGAATAAGCAGTTTACGAGCTCCAGACAACAGTCGGAGCCTTGCGAGCGCAACGGCTTGCTGAGAACAGTGAGCTGGAGCAGGCCGAAAGCCAGATGACAGAAATCGCGACCGCCGTGAATGGCGCCGGAATGAACCGCGCTGCCCTCCGGGAGCAGCTAAATTACGCGGACCATCGAGCCTTTGCAATTGCCGGCGTAATCTCCATGCGAGACATTGTGCTACTGGACGTGCAGCAGCAGGTCAGAGACGCGCGCGAGAGCCCGAGGCATGCGAGCATATCGCAATCGACGACTGTAACCGTCTCCAGAACCACAATGCGATGTGAGCGCCATGAGCCTGGATGGAACTAGAAATGAGGCGGGCGCTGCATTTGCCAGGTTGGATGCGTTGATCGATGCGGTCAACGAAAGTTGGTTTCTCAGCGACCTCTGCTTGACAGACATTGTCGGCTACAGGGCGCGCGAGACCAGTGATGAGGATGCCGCGGCCTGTGGCCGTGTCACCGCAATCGCGCGCTGAGACCAGGTCGCCAATGGCACCGACGCGAAGCGTCCTCGCACCCCCTGCGCGTGAGTTCTCGGCGGAGAAACCTGCTGCCGCGCGCGCGGCGCATCGGCGGCGCGTTGCGGCGGGGCAATCTGTCGCTCATCGCGCTGGAGACAGCGGGTGCCGCAGACGAAGTCAGCGGAGCCATGGCGGTTGCGCCGCGCCCGAACCTGCGCCGATCTGGGCCCAGTGGGCGGGGTTTATGCATGCAGGGCGAAGCTGGTGCGCACCGCCCCCATCCCTTGGAGGGGGGCCTCGCGGCGCGGGCGGTGGATCGTGTTTTCATCGGCGGCCGAACGCGGCAGAAGACGCGGGTTGGATGCTGCCAGACAGGGCGAGGTATCAAGAGGCCGACGCGGTTGAATATCCAAGCCTACCTGCTGTGCCATATTTCCCGCAGTAGAGCAGGAAGTGCATGAAACGGCGCGTCCCGCCTCAGGTGGGCCAGACATGCCGCGCGAGGCTCCGCGCGGTTGAGGGCGCTGTGGCAGCGCGTGAGCCCCTCGCGGACAGTGGTGCGTTCGAGGCGCTCGAGGCGACGGAGCCGCCGCGCGCGTCAACATTCTCAGACAGGATGACCGATGCAGGAGTGTCAACGCGCGGAAGGGAGAAGTTAAGACCCCCGGCCAGCCCGGCACAGGGCGACGAGTCCTCCTCGTGATCCTGGCGTGGCGCAGTCTGGTAGAAACAGACGGCTGCATCTTTGGCTTCGCCCGCCGCAATGCTCTCGGCAAGTTCGTTGCAGAGTGGGATTGCGCCCTCCTGGGCGTGAAGGCGCTGCCCGAGTCTTCCATCTTTGAATGCCTGTTCAGGACGCTGATAGGGCATCGTCGTGACCTCGAGTGAGACGTGGGGGCGCGTCGCAGGATGGATAGAGGCGACCCCCGCAAACGCGTCGAGTGGCGCCGCGGTAAGTGCGCCAAGCTCCTTGAGAGTCAGCGACTGCAAACAGCGCGCCTGGGTACGGGCGACAATGTCAAAGAAAAGGCCGCGCGCCGATTGGGCCCAGAAATGCGCGCGCGCATCGCGAGACTGCCCGCGGCGTCGCCCGGTGCATTTAGAGCGGAGGACTACGGGGCCGACTAACAAGTCGGGGGCCCGCAAGATTTGCGAAGAGTTCGCCTTGACAGGGAGGTACCCCAGACCGCGGCGCGGAGAAAGGCGCGGGCCGATGTGCCGGCGCGGCTGGGGCGGGGGGCGCATGCGCGGGGGCAACTCCGCCTTTGCGCGCGCGGGCAATGGCGGAGACGACCCAGCAGCGGCCTCGCAGAATGGTGATTCCCCAGAACGCTCGACCTGGAAATCGCTCTGGCCCTGGCGACGACGCACTCAACTGTTCGCCTCAGTTTTCAAACGGGGGGGGGGGCGCCCTGCGAGCCCGAAGCGAGGCGCGCGGGGAGATACTTCCCCGCGAGGACCGAGCCA